GGCCTGAGGGGATGGTGCTTGGGGAGGGCGACGAGGCCGGGGTGTTGCAGCCCTCGCAGCAGCGGCAGCAGCAGCAGGGCGGCGCCACCCAGCAGCAGCAGCAGCAGCAGCAGCAGCAGCAGCAGCAGCAGCAGCAGGTGGGGCAGCAGCAACAGCAGCGGCGGGGGCAGGCGGCGGTGCCAGCGGTGGCACAGCAGCGGCAGCAGCGGCGTGCGCCAAATGCGACGCCCGCGCGGGCTCCACGGCGGGGCGGCGGGCAACAGCAACAGCAGCAGCAGGAGCAGGAGCAGAGGCCCAAGCAGCCGCAGGAGCAGCAGCCCCCAAGCGGCAAGGACCCTGGAGCGTCGGGCCACGCCAGCACAGCCCATGGCGGCAGCAGCGGCAACGGCGGCGGCGGCGGGGCTGGCGGCGGCGGCGGCGGCTGCGGGCTGGGTGCGAACGCGAGCGTGCTCGCGTGCCGGGCGGAGTGGCTGCAGCACCTGGGGCGCCACGCGGAGTGCTACGCGCTGACTGAGCGCGTGCTGGAGCGGGACCCATACGCGGCAGAGTGCCTGGCCCCCCACCTGGCGGCGGCGCTGCAGCTGGGCCGGAAGAACGAGCTCTTCCTCAGGCGAGGGCGCCCCGTCGTGCGCCCGCGCGCGGCCGCCGCCGCCCTGCAAGCCCTGCTTTCCGATGGATGCGGCGCCGCTTGCTTATCAATGCCTGCTCGAGGCGGAACGCGGGGCCGGCCGCCAGGGTCGGGCCGCGGAGCGCCCGGCCTGCCGCCCAATTCCCTGGATTCACAAAGGCTTGCAGCGCTGCGGTAGGCGCAGCCACACCAACCCCCGAGCCGACACGAATGGCACCCCGCCCCAGACGCGGCCTGATCTGCAACCTCAAAACGCCGCAAACGCAATCCCACCTCTAGGAGCCACCAGTTGGTCGAGGAGTACCCCGACAGGGCCCTCTCCTGGTTTGCAGTGGGCTGCTACTACATGGCGGCGCGGCACTTTGAGGCGGCGCGGCGCTACTTTTCAAAGGCCACCAGCCTGGACAGGAACAGCGCGCACGCCTGGGTTGGCTTTGGGCACGCGTTTGCAGCGCAGGTGGGGGCCCGGTGCATGCGCATGCGCGTTGAGTGTTTGTGTGTGTCTCGCGCATGTGTGTGCGTGAGTGTGTGTGTGTGTGTGTGTGTGTGTGTGTGTGTGTGTGTGTGTGTGTGTGTGTGCGGTTGCGCACGGCGCCAGCATGTAAAGGGATGGCTTCGGGGATGTTGATGATTTTCAATACCCAACCTGCATAGAGTGCCAAGCAGAGCTCGTTGGGTTCTGCCCAAGGGGTGTGCGCGGCGCCAGGCGGGGGCCGGGCAGGCAGGCCTGCTGGTGTTGTGGGACAGGGCGCGCGGCCATCAGGGCGGGCGGCGCCTGTGAGGCCGACGACGCACTCAACTTCCCCTTGCGCCTCACATCGCATCGGCCATCAGGGCCCGTGTGTGAATTGCCGCATCCCCACACCCACATGCCAAACAGCCGACCGACCGCCCAACCAACCGAACCACACTTTACCCCGCCGTCACCGCGCCCCCAACGCCCCCAGGACGAGAGCGACCAGGCCCTCGCTGCCTACCGCACCGCCGCGCGCCTCTTCCCGGGCCTGCACACGCCCGTGCTGGGCATGGGCATGGAGTACAGCCGCATGAACAACCTGGGGCTGGCGGAGAGGCTGTTCCGCGCCGCGCACGCGCTGTGCCCGGACGACCCGCTGGTCTGCCACGAAATCGGGGTCCTTGAGTACCGCAACGGCCGCCACGCCGCTGCGGAGCGCTGGCTGCGCGCCGCGCTCGCGGCGACGCCGCGCTCGGGCGGTGGCGGCGGCGGCGGCGGCGGCGGCGCGCTCCCCGCGGCGGCCGAGGCGACGCTGCTCGCGCTCGGCCACGCGCGGCGGAAGCTGCGCGACTTTGGCGGCGCTCTGGAGGCGTACCGCGGCGCGCTCGCGCTCGCGCCCAACGCGGCGAGCACGCACGCGGCGGTGGCGTTCGCGCTGCAGCTGTCGGGGGACTGCGCGGGCGCGGTGCGGGAGTATCACATCGCGCTCGGCCTGCGGCCGGACGACGCGTTTGCGCAGGAGATGCTCGGGGAGGCGCTGCGGGAGGAGTGCGCCCGGGCGAGCGCTGAGCTGGACGACGGTGGCCTAGGGGTGTAAGGGCGCGGCCGCGGCTGCTGGGGAGCGCTGGGCGCGGCCGGCGGACGGCCTGGGCGCCGCCGCTGCGGCCGGCGCAGGCACAGGAGGAGTAACCAGCCCAACAACCAACCACTCTTGCGTCAGAGCAGATGTGTTGGAGCGGCTATACTACTTATATGACACGGATCGTCAAGCGAGGCGGCAGCGCGGCAGGCACACATATCAAGCACCTCTGCATCATGCACGCAAGCGCAGCACGGGTCACCACCACACCGGCCGCCGACTCGTCGTGCTGCAAGGTGCTTCTGCAGGCCAAAGCAAGTGCTGCCAGCCAAACTAACGTATCAGATCTCATGTTACGGGCCGAATTCAGCAGCTCTATTTCGTGATTTGCCTGCGTGCCGATCTTTAACGCCTCACCCCTTGCAGTTGCAGCCGGCCGCAACGTCATGGGCAATGCACAGAGCGCTGTGATGCCTCCGCCACCTCGAGCATCAGCCGCCTCAGCCGAAACGGCCTGTCCCGTCATAGACTCGGGGGCCGAGCAGCAGGACCAGCACCAGTCACGCTGTCCCGTACCTGAATCGGCCCGCACAAGCGCTGTCTACAACGTTTATGGCCAGCGGATAGACCTGCCACAAACACCGGGCCCTGCGGACCCGCTGGCGGCGCTGCGCAGTACTGATGTGCTCGACCCGAAGAACAACATGCCGCTCGCGCCCAACCAGCAGCCGTGCCCCGGCCAGCGGCGGCTGCTGTCGACGGAGCGCATTGAGTCCAACATTCCAAAGGGCGGCACCAGCGAGACGTGGGTGTACCCGTCGCCGCAGATGTTCTTCAACGGTGGGTGGGCGGCGCAATAGCGCAGCTGCCAGCAGCATGAGCGGGGCTCGGTGGTTCCAGCCGCCCTGGGGTTCGAGGGTGTGGGGCCCCGCCGCCTTTCTTGGATGATACATCATGCGGCCTGAGCTCCGGAAAGGCAGCTGCTATGGAACCAGCGTCAGGCGCGGCATGCCAGGGTGGCCATCCCGGCGGGCAGCAAACCCCCAGCCCGCCGAACCGCCCCACCTCGCACGCCCGTCCACCCGCCGCGCAGCCCTGCGGCGGAAGGGCAAGGGGGACGACGTGAGGGAGGAGGACATGGAGTCGGTTGTGCGCGCACACAACAGTGAGCGGCGGCCGCACGCCGGTGCTAACAGCCACCGGGGGGGTGGGGCGTGCATGATGGAATCGGCTGGGCCGCGGCGCCTAGCACGGTGGCCCGGGGCCGCTTGCGGCCCCTTGCCTGAAGGCCCAGCTGCTGCAGGTTGTGGAGGCAGCTCTTCACGCCCGCGCTGCACGCGCTTTCCCACAACGCGGCTGCACGTGTACCCTTTCCCACCCAATAATGGTTGTCTTCATGCCCCTTGGATTCCTGCAAAACCCGGAGCCATGAACGAGGTGACGTGGCAGCGCGTGCTGGACTGGGAGCAGCTGCACTGCGACAGCTGCCGCTACCCCACACTGCTCAAGTTCCAGGGCCGGCCCGACGACCTCAGGCGAGCGGACGGCGGCCTTCACTTTCATCTCTTTCGGCGCGCTTTGGTCCAGGGGCACCGTTTTGGCGCGTGTGCCCACCCTACTGCACGTCGACGCGCCAGCTGCCCTATCGTGCCGCGCCCAACGCGGCCTCATTCTTGTCCCCGTCCCCTCCCCCCCCTGCAGCCCCCTGGCACGGCTGCGCGGCTGGCTGGGCGGCCCGCTGCCGTTTGACCGCCACGACTGGGTGGTTGATCGATGCGGGCGGGAGGTGCGTTACGTCATCGACTTTTATTACTACGATGACAAGGCCGGCACGCCAGAGGTGGGTGCAGCGCAGCTGCGACACTCCACAAGGGCGCGCGTACAGCGGTCACGCACACCCCTGCCTGGCGCACAGCCCTGCCTTGCGCGCTCCGCTTGGCCCAGGGGCTGCCTGGCTGCTCTGCCAGCCGAGCCTGCGCGGCCCATGCCCGCGCTCGCGGCCTTGCAGCTCGGCCTCCCTTCCCCTTACTGG